AAATGACGAGGAACCAAACTCCCCCAACAAGAAAAAAACACCGAATTTTGGTTTTTCACATAAAAAAAAAAAAAAATTTTTTTTTTTTTTTTTTTTTTTTTTTTTTTTTTTTTAATAGTTCGCCGATTCAGATATCCTAAAACTAACTATATATGATCGTTAATCAGTTCGTTGCTTCTTCTTCGTAGGACCTTGTAATTCCTCTAATTCCACTCTAAGTCGATTATTCTCGTTTCTGAGCATGTCCATCTGCGTTTGTAAATCTTGAATAGTTTGATCAGTCAACAACTTCTCCAGTGTCCATTTTTCGATATTAGCAGCTTCATTCTCCTTGAGTTGTTGAATGTATTGAACCGCTCGATTGAGAATGCTTCCTTTGTTTTTTTCACATCCAGGCACAATTTTGGCCAATTCATTAATTCCGGCGTTGATCGTATCACGACGACGACGTTCAACCTCCTTATGATTTTCGCGACGCTGTCGATGCCATTCTTCGCTGCCCACCGGTGGTTTTCCACTTGGTGTGGTTTGAGGAGTTGTCGTCGCCGACATCGAATGAGCTCGCATGGGGTTATGTTGTTGAGATTGTGGGGACTGCTGTTGAAGGCCGTGTTGAGGGGTGAGCGGTGCTGGTTGAATGGGTAAAGGAGCAGGATGGATCGAAACTGGGTCATTCTTTTGTTGAGTGATGGCGGAAAGTTGCGCTGGGATAACGTTGGATTGACCGCTTGAACTAATTTCATGGTAGAGTAGGTGGAGTGGAATCCTTAACTTTCAGTGATAAACTAACCATACATCGTATCACTCCTTCAAAAAAGGTGTTCACAATTTTTTATCTCACCTCTGTTGGATCGAAGGAATAGCTACAACTTTTGACTGTACGGGGACTGCGTTGGTTGTAATTGTTGTAGTTGTAGCAGCGGCGGAAGAAATAGTTGTCGTGGGTGCGGGTAAAGTGGGTGGTGTTTGAGTGGGTGTGGTGACTTGCGCTTCATCCGTTTTCGAATTAATGTTTGACGGGTTCTCTTTGAAGGAGCCCTGTATTTGAGAATGGCAAGTATGATAAATACCTTTTGAATTTGTCCGTCTATTGAATACTCTTTGAGACCAGTTTGATGTCATAGAGCATTCAACTTCACACAATTACTAAAGCGCGCTCCGTTAATGTTCGCAAAGAAAGAGTAATAAGTAAGTAATAAAACAAATGATATACCATTGTCAAGAGTGTGGTTTCTTCAGTAGACATTTTTTTTTTTTTTTTTTTTTATGTAAAAACTATTTTCTGAACGTTACAAGGGAAAAAACACTACGCGAGCAGACAGTGCACTTTGTTACGTCTCACGGTTCTAAAGGGTCCAAAGTCAGGTGAACTGTGAAAACGGTCACGGTTTTTTTTTTATATTGATGTTCCTTCTTGAGTTTTGAGCTAGAAGGAGGTCTTGTGGGGAAAGGGCAAGTAGATGACTGGGCATCTTGTGACTATCCTGTGATCATCCTGTGACATATAGATGACGTGAGATGCATGATTCAGCACATTGTCATACATTTCGGAGCACCACTGCAGTTGATTTTCAGGTGACGATAGCTGATAATACCAAACATGGTTTCAGACTACATAGCACAGACACAAGTTGTATTGTAATCCCGTTATTGTGATCAGATGATCCTCACTTATTTCTTACTTGTTTGTCATATGATTTTTCCAAGTAAAGACGGAGTTAGGAGTAAGTGGTGAGTGGTGAATAAATTACAATAACGGTTTTTGTTTTTTTGTTTTTTTGTTAAAATAAATGAAATCAAGGTCCGCTTA